AAACTATGTTGCAAAACAAGAGTAATCAAAACAGTATGGTAGCGGCATAAAAACACACATAAACCAATGCAATAGAATAGGGAACCCAGAAATAAACTCATGCATGTATGTTCAAGTAATCGTTGATAAGGACACCAATAACAGGATTTTCTTTATGTAGATGTTCCACGCGTCTACTTTTCTTATCTGCTTTATTGAACTGTAATTTACATAAAACAAATTCATCACCTTAAGGTATAATCAAATTTGTTTTAACAAATGTGTGCAGTTATGTAAATACCTCCACAATCATGACATGTATCATTTCCATCACCCCAAAGTCCACTTGTATTCGTCTCTCCATTCTCTAGTTCTTGACAACAGCTGATCTGTTTTTTGCTGGTTTGTTTTTTAAAAGATGGGACCTCACTGTGTGTTCCAGGATGGCCTTAAACTCCTGGGCTCAAGTGATTCTCCTGCCTCAGACTCCCAAATAAGTGACAATACAGGCATATACCACCCCTAAATTAAGGTTTTTTTTTGTTTTTTTGTTTTTTTTTTTTTGGCAACCTAATGTGTGGTCAATGTTTGTAAATGTTTTCTGCCCCTTGAGAATAATGTACATTTGAACTATTTGTTAGGCTCTGGCTTCACTCCATGTGTCTTTTTTATCAAGCACAACTTTGTTGTTTAAATTCGTGTCCACAGTAATTTAAATTTTATTTGCTCCATCAGATTTGCATACAAATGTGTTAAATTCTCACACATGGTTGTATATTTGCCAATTCCTCTTTATTTTGTTGCTTTACTTTAAATATTTTGGGGCTATTCATGATTTATAACTTCTTAATGGATGTTTTTCTTTTGTCATTATACAGCATTCTGCTTTATCCCTGTTAATGCTTTTGCCTTAAAATCTCTTTGGCTGAGTACTAACATTGTTACGCAAACTTTTATGGTTTTTTTTTTTTTTTTTTTTTTTTTTTGAGACAGAGTCTCGCTCTGCCGCCCAGGCTGGAGTGCAGTGGCGTGATCTTTTTTCACTCACTTTATGTGATGCCCTCTTGTTCAGCTTTCTTTTATGTCTCTTGTAACTGCACTTAACTTTTGTAATTTTGTCTGATAATCCTAGCTTCTTAATAGGTAAATTTAAATTTATTTACATTTATTGAGATTCCAGATGTATATGGACCTATATCTTCTGTGGTATTGTTGACCATACTTTATTTGTGTTTTTCATGTCTCCTTCCAGCTTTCTAATGGATTGGTATAAAACTATATATTCTCCCCTTTCTCCCTGCTGGTTTAGAAATTAAAGATAAAATTTCTGTAATGTTTTAAATTATGCCCCAATCCCAAAAGATGACAAGGAGCTTATCATGGTTTCACTACAAACTGAATACCCCATTTCTACCATTTTGGCTATTGTTTAATATTTTAATTTTAGCTATAAATTTTGAAACTATTATCATTTTTACAGTTGATATTTACTTAATTAAAAAAATTATTTTGTATTCTCACCATCGTTTTTTTTCTTTGGTTTCACTTTTTGTCTAGCTGAAGTAAATTCTTTGTTTCTTCTAGTGAGTGATCTCTAAGTGGTAAACTCTCTAAGTGTTGGATGTACAACTTTGTCTTTACTTTGATAGAACTTCTTAGCTACATTAAAACTTCTAGGTCAATAATTTATTTCTTCTCAGTATAGTAAAGTGATTACTATATTATTTTCTGGAATCTATGGTGTGGCTAATAAAAATTATTTTCTTATTGTAACTAACTGTAACTTCTTGGTAAATATTCTGTCCTTTCTCTCTAAAAGCTTTTTTTTCCCTCAAATTTAATCATGAAAATTTTAAGCATACAGAAGACTTGGGAGAATTGTATACTAAACATCAATATACTTTCACATAGATTCACAATTAACATTGTATCATTCCTGCTTTATCACTTTTCTATTCATCTATGCATTTCTCTATCCACTCACTAACTGGTGGTCAAGTTTGAAACATTTCAAGGCTGCAGACATTAGCACTCTTCCCCCTCAAATACGTTGGCATGTGTATCATTAACTAGAGTTCAGTATTTATTTAGAATTCTTTTCTTAAGATAAAATTTACAATGAAATGCACGAGTATTAAGTATACCATTTGATGAGTTCTTGTAACTGCCTTTTTTTGCACCATCAAAATTCTTATCAAGATACAGAACATGACCATCACCTGGAAAGGTTCCTTATGCCCTGCCCGGTATATCTCACCCACTACCCATCAGGGCAATCACTACTCTTCTTTTTAACTATGATAATTTGGGTTTTTAAAAACTTTATATAAGTAAGGTTTTATAGCATATCCTCTTTAGAGTGGGATTTATTTCACACAGCATGTTTTTGAGATTCATCCATATTGTTGGATGTCTCAGTAGTTTGTTCTTTTTCATTGCTAAGTAGTGCACATTATCTGGATATACCAAATTTTGTTTATAAGTCTATTGATGGACACCTCGAGTTTTTAAAGTTTTTTGCTATTATGAAAACTCTGCTGAGCACATTCTTGTAGGAATCTTCCTGTTTTTTCATATCTCTTGCTTAAATACCTAGGAGCAAAATTGCTGGGATATAGAGTAGACACATCAGTTCTTTCCCCCCAAGACCCATGAAAAGGATGGTGCAGAGCAAGCCCAGGTGGATGCTGCACTCACAGGTGTGTGCTGCAGTAGAAGAATGCTTCGCTGAGGAAACCTATGGGCTTATAAGGGGACTGATAGCAAACATACCCAAACCTTACCTCTGAGGGAGACATTATCTTTTTAGCTGGAATTTAAGCAACTCTCCTCTGGGGATATTAAGCAAATCTCCTCTGGGGATCTTAAGCAAATCTCTTCTGGAGGCATCTCCTCTGGAAAATGTCTAAGGAGGGAGATGTTGTCTATTTTATAGTGGTCAGGGATACATTTGCCCTATAATCTGGAGGCTACATGATCTCTAGCTTCCAAGACTGCTTTGCTATTCAAATATCCTTGAAGTGATACTCTGAGGCATGTAGAAATGCCATGGAGAATGGCCTTCCACCAAATTCGCCCCACATTTTTGCTTCTGGCAAATTTCCCCATGAAGACACCACCCGGTCAGTCACTCTGATAGTCGGACCCATGGGTCCACATCCATTCAATTTTTTTCCTACAACATTTAACAAATTTTGACCCAGTGCAGTGGCTCACTCATGTTATCCCAGTACTTTGGGAGGCCAATACAGGAGGATCACTTGAGGTCAGGAGTTCAAAAACCAGCCTGGACAACATAGCGAGACCCCATATCCACACACACACCCGTACCCACACACATTTCATAAACTGTAAACGATTTAGGTCCCTTATGACCACCTCTAAGGTACAAGTCCTTACATGAGGGAGGCAATTAGTGCCTGGCTTTCATACAAGAAGTACAATCCCCAGGGCACACGTGGGGCTCCCAGAAGGAAAGTGTACACAATTGTTGGGCTTCCTTGAGTGGTATGTACATTAGTAAGGGGGAAGGTGAACAGTGTCTCCTACGTGGTCCCTGGCTGGCTGTAAGCCTTGGAGTTCCCAGTTCTGTTCATCCTTGATTTGTTTGTGTGTGTGGCTAGGGAGAGGGTGGGCATGTTGGAGGGACTGCGTGAGGACAGTCTGTCCAATCTGTCCTATTTGTCCATGACACCAACCAGGTGGCAGCCCCCCTCTAACAAATGACTGAGAATAGTGGTAGGGACAATGTCTAGAGGGTTCAATGTGGGACCTCAGAAGCTGGACCCAGCCCCTGCCGTCTCAAGGCTGGTGCAGAGAGGCTGACTCAGCATTCTCAGAGGTGGGAGCACTGGAGCAGGGTATTTTCCTTCTGGACAAAGGATCCTTGGGTTCTTCTGAAAGACAGATATCACCAATGCTCCTCTTTCTCCCATACCTCTTTAGATGTCTGGATTTTTGCTCTTGCTTCACTGCTGCAAAATCTGCTATACCACTCCAGTGGCTGTACCTTCATCTTTTATCCTAATCATCTCCTTTTCTCACTTAGACTTTCCATCTACAAAATTAGATAGTAGAGGAAAAGCATTTTCATAAAATGTGTCTGGAGTTAAATCTGAATCCCTAGGCTCTTTGAAGGCCATACCCACCAGGCTGGTAGGGGAAAGGATGAGGCATCATCCTTAGGAATGGTCGCAACAGAATCCTGAATCTTCAAGATAGGTCTACAGAACACTTGCAACCTCTACCACTTCTGTCCTGGTCACTATCCAGGAAGGAGGTGATCCCTTTCTGGGGGCTGCTTCCTTCAGTGAGCCTACTGCCCTCCCACAGTGTGCGGACAGGAGGAGATGAGGGATAGTCAGAAAGGCAGTGCACTGTGGAGTCACTTTTCAGATAAAGGGCACATCAGACTGCAAATGGTCCAGACAGCCAGATTCAGGACACTGATGAGTTTCTGGGGTCACAACAGTATTCCTGGAGTCAGCTGCTCTGCAGCCTGAAGTAGGGCTGACAGTGTGGAGGCACTGCTGAGATTATTTAATGAAATTATATAGGGATTCTGTAATGAGTATGTAATTACATAATGAAAACTCACTACATCAAGTTCAGAATATCTCCCAACTTCCAATATAGAATATTATTTATAACATCATCAGCTTCAAGGAGGATGCCTTCTCATTGCACATTTGCATTTACACAACAAACACTTGAAAAAGGAACATGAAACAACAGTTATCATTCACTCTAAGGTGCCAGCAAGAGTTAATTTTCTATTAAAAATTTTGTTTCAAGGAAGGTCGTCTCCTATAGTCTCTCCCAAGCCCATGGCCCAAGGCTCATGCAGAGGTAAAATATAACTCTGTACTCAACCTCCACACTGCTACACTGATCCTAAAGTATTTTGCCCCATTCCTGCGGACCAAAGTATGAAAAAAAACCTTTACTCTTACTGGCATATAAAACTCAAAGAATTATATTTATACCTCTGCATAATTAACTTTATTCTCTTTGGTTTGAAGGAAAAAAGAGGGGGCATTGCTGGACCAGAGTAAGAAGGAGAATGCAGAAAAACGTCCAACAACATGGTAAGCAGGCAAAGTGAAGTCGTTACAGCTTTTGAGTTTATTAGGGCACTGCCCATTGTATTCTTGAAAGCCTGCAGTTCCCGACGGCCAGGAGAGTTCTGTACCTCCTGTATCAGTTAGGATGTAGACTAACAGGCTGTGACAAAGAGGCCTGAAAATGCAATGGCTTCAACAAAATGGTTTCTCATGCATGTAATAGTCCGGAGGCCCACAGTTAATAAGGAGGTGTTATCATCCTCAGTATGACTTTCTTTCCTAGCTCAAGAAATTTTTATTAATTTGGAAAGACATTCCGAAGAGGACTAAATGAAGAAATCAGGGTGTATGTGTATGTGTACACAATTGTAAAAATATATATATGTATAACCATATTTTATGTGAAATTTATACTTCTGAAGTATATTTTTATGTATCCTGATAGATGCACATGTAATTATTTATCTGTATATATAAAGAGACATTAATATAGAAAAGTGGATGACAGTTCATTCATAAAAATATATGTAGTAGTTACATTTGGTCAATGTAATAGAAGCGATATTTATATTTTTATTTGTGGTTTTCAAATGTATGTGTGTATATTAAAATATTATAAATCTCCAACATTTTTAATGAAAAAGTGTTATTCAAAAAGTAACATATGCAAAAAGAAAAGAGTAGGAGAATATTTTTGCACAGATCATCATCTGGAGATCGCCATCCTCATCTGTGGCTATCTCCAGATGGTGATGTTTCATATCATTTTATTTTCTGAATTTCCTGTAAATACATATGTTCTTTATAATCAGGCCCTGAAATCTTGGAAATTTATTTTAGTCATGGTCTGAGGACTTCCTTTCTTCTAGACGATAAAGGCTAAGTCTCATTTTCTAAATGATTGTCAATTTTGAATCAGTGGATCTAAAATAGTAAGATTTTAGCGTCCTATTGAAAATCGTTAATTTTTACCAATCTTGCCAGTTGATGTGGCTGCCTGGTTGGTGGATGTGACAGCTTTGTTTGGAAAGAAAAAAAAAAGGGGGGGCTGCATGCATTTTAAGAATGGCTGTTTTCAAATTGAAAATTTGTTTGGACTGAATCATTATAACATTTTCATTTAAGTCTGTGTGTATGTAGACAAATTCTAAGAGACTTCAATGTACAATTAAATCCTGTGTGTAACTTAAAAGTCGACAATCTCAAAAGCAGAAAATGCTCTGGACACCTGCTTGAGGTTCCTTGTCTGAAAAAAGGGGATCCAGAATGAAACCCAGGACTCCCTCACTTGCTTTTGGTCCAGCCTGTCAGTTTTTCTGCCCAGTTCTATTAATACATGTTCCCCTGCCTATTCCCAGAAAACAGCAAAGGCAATGGCCAGGTGGTCTCGAATGAAAAGAAGGCGAACGTGAATCTGAAAGGCCTTTCCAAGATTAGGGGTAAGATAAAGTTTGTGCCGCTTTCCCTTTGCCCTACAGGTCAATACATTTTTTTTTTATTATTATACTTTATGTTCTGGGGTACATGTGCACAACGTGCAGGTTTGTTACATATGTGTACATGTGCCATGTTGGTGTGCTGCACCCATTAACTCATCATTTACATTAGGTATATCTCCTAATGCTATCCCTCCCTGCTCCCCCGACCCTGCAATAGACCCCGGTGTGTGATGTTCCCCTTCCTGTGTCCAAGTGTTCTCATTGTTCAGTTCCCACCTATGAGTGAGAACATGCAGTGTTTGGTTTTCTGTTCTTGTGATAGTTTGCTGAGAATGATGGTTTTCAGCTGCATCCATGTCCCTGCAAAGGACATGAGCTCATCCTTTTTTTATGGCTGCATAGTATTCCACGGTGTATGTGTGCCACATTTTCTTAATCCAGTCTATCATTGATGGACATTTGGATTGATTCCAAGTCTTTGCTATTGTGAATAGTGCCGCAATAAACATATGTGTGCATGTATCTTTATAGCAGCATGATTTATAATCCTTTGGGTATATACCCAGTAATGGGATGGCTGGTTCAAATGGTATTTCTAGTTCTAGATCCTTGAGGAATTGCCACACTGTGTTCCACAATGATTGAACTAGTTTACAGTCCCACCAACAGTGTAAAAATGTTCCTATTTCTCCATATCCTCTTCAGCATCCACGGGAACAGAAAACCAAACACCGCATGTTCTCACTCATAGGTGGGAATTGAACAATGAGAACACTTGGACACAGGAAGGGGAACATCACGCACTGGAGCCTGTCGTGGGGTAGGGGAAGGGGGGACAGAATAGCATTAGGAGATATACCTAATGTAAACCATAAGTTAATGGGTGCAGCACACCAACATGGCACATGTATACATATGTAACAAACCTGCATGTTGCGCACATGGACCCTAGAACTTAAAGTATAATTTTAAAAAAAAAAGTATTAACGGAGACTTCATGATGAAGGCAAAAAAACAAAAACAAAAACAAAAACAATAAAGCACCTTCCCTCCTTCAGCCTGGGCAAGCCTTAGTCTGGAACACATATAGTTGGGGGTGACATGATCTCTTATTCTCTCTTGGCCCTATCCCCACTCCATAGCTGTTGGCTTGGTCCCATCCAGGATTTTGGGAGGTGAGAGAGAGGGGTGAGATCAGAGTGTGGAGGTGTCTTGCCTGACAGGTGCAGCCGTGAAATGACATTACAAGTGGTTGATGCGCAATCACTAGCTCTTTCTTCCATGAGACGCTTTCATCAACTGCCCTGCAAGGGAAGGGGAAGGGTCAGGCATCACAGCTTGACTTATTTTGAAAATAGAGCTTTACTTCTACAACCTGAATGCGAGTGAAAGGCTGAACCTGGCATCATCAGTTCCACTAACTCTTTCTATGGTTGCATACATGGACTAATGCATTGTCCTAGGATGTGGGTGCTCAACTCAACCTACTTGCTTGGGACTTTCTCAATTTTGCCTATGAAACTCTCATTTCCAAGCCATAGGTCCACTTTGGGTCTGGTTGCTCCTTTTTACTTTGGTGGCCTAATATGCTCATGATATGCTTAGAATTTATAGTACTTAGGAATGAGTAGGCTGGAAAATATTTCCTCATGGGCCTACATGACCCTGACCAGCACCCCCAGATGGTGGTCATTGGATGGTGGACATTCAACACAAGAAGGAAGGAACATTTTGCTTTCCTGCCTTGGAAAATAAAACACATTTGAACGATAGTAAACCTTGAGATGTCCACCCACAGCCAATTAACATGCACACGGAAGAACCTCGTCGGCCGCAGCGTCTGCCATGTCAATCCTTAGTTACCATTTGGAATGAAGGCTGCGGAAGTCTCAATTCTACCCATTCCTCATGATTAATTTTCTTCTGATTAGTTTCTTAAATCCCAATATTTCTTTTTTCCAAAGTCATGTGGACAAAGCCCTGGTCACATTTACTATTACTTTCAGCACAAAGGTACAAATATCTTCCCTCAATGTGATATGTGCAGCATACATCTCACCTATGGAACACCTAATAGGATTTCCCTTAACTTACAGAACTGTCATTCAGTTTTGTCTCTGCTAAGAGAAACCCAAATGCCTTCACTTAATTTTGTAGTTTTGTCTCAATTTTCTCTGAATATTTTAGTCTCTGTAATGACAGTAATTATCATTTTGATCTTGCAAAGATTAAATAAATTAGTGGATGTGTAAGTGTTTAACATGTATTATATGCCATATATATTTCAAATATATATATTTGAAATGAAATAAGAAATCAACCTTCAAAATATGGAATGAAGCATTTGTACTTTTGCTTGAGATATATGTGAAATACTGCTTTCAATTAGTCTTTTTCCTAATATAAGAATAGGAAAATGAAATATAAAGTGACCCTAATATTAGCTATCTGATTCTTCATACCTTAAAGGCTAGGGTTTAAATATTTTTATTTATACATTAAACAGGCTTTTGGAAAGTTACATTTAAATGGAATTTTTGAAAAGCTGTAATATGTGTAATACAGAGACTCATAAATGACTGTGATTATATTATTCTACTTTCTCAGGGAGAAAGAGAAGCAAACCTAGAACCCACTTCACTCAGAGTGACAGAGCTCCACAGAAAAGAGTCCGATCAAGAGGTAAAAAAGAAAAGAGGAATGTACTTTCGATAACTAAACATCTAATTTCCTGTGCAGTAGACTGTACTTTCAGTAATAAACCCATTTCCTTAATTGTTTTATGAAGCTGTACTAACTAGTGAGAAATTTATCCTATTTAGTCATTTTCCAAAATGTATCAAGGAAAGAAGGAAGTAAGTTGGTGATTGATCTACAATCAGACCCCAGGGGCTCAGGCGCCACTAAAGTGCTACTTTCACTGAAATGATAAATTTCAAGGCTGGAGATAGTTCATTGCCATATAAAGGGCACGACCCATATTTATTATTTAGCTGACCTTCCTCTGGCTACACAGAAAGCCACAGGTTGTACACTAAGGGTGAAACAGAGTTGTGATTAGAGATCTGTGTCCTAAGACTTTCTTTTTCTTTGTGTGGGCTTAGGCTGATCACTTGAGTTTCTTTGTCTCAGTTTTCTCATCTGGAAAGCAAGAGTATGAATTAGGCCAACCATCTTTCTTTCTTTTTCTTTTTTTATACTTTAAGTTCTGGGATACCTGTGTAGAATGTACAGGTTTGTTACATATGTATACATGTGTTATGGTGGTTTGCTGCACCCATCAACCCATCATCTACATTAGGTATTTCTCCTTATGCTGTCCTTTCCCTAGCCCCCAACTCCTGAGAGGCCCTGGTGTGTGATGTTCCCCTCCCTGTGTCCATGTGCCCTCACTGTTCAACTCCCACTTATGAGTGAGAGCATATGATGTTTGGTTTTCTGTTCATGTGTTAGTTTGCTGAGAATGATGATTTCCAGCTTCATCCATGTCCCTGTAAAGGACATGAACTCATTCTTCTTTATGACTACATAGTGTTTCATGGTGTATATGTGCCACATTTTCTTTATCCAGTCTATCATTGATGGACATTTGGGTTGGTTCCTAGTCTTTGCTATTGTGAACACTGCTGCAATAAACACACACATGTGTGTGTGTCTTTATAGTAGAATGATTTATAATCCTTTGGGTATAACCAGTAATGGGATTGCTGGGTCAAATGGTATTTCTGGTTCTAGATCCTTGAGGAATCGCCACACTGTCTTCCATAATGGTTGAACTAATTTACGCTCCAACCAACAGTGTTAAAGCGTACCTATTTCTCCATATCCTCTTCAGCATCTGTTGTTTCCTGAGTTTTTAATCATTGCCATTCTAACTGGCTTGAGATGGTATCTCATTGTAGTTTTGATTTGCATTTCTCTAATGACCAGCGATGATGAGCTTTTATTCGTGTTTGTTGGCTGGATAAATGTCTTCTTTTAAGAAGTGTCTGTTCGTATCCTTTGCCCACTTTTTGATGGGGTTGTTTTTTTCTTGTAAATTTGTTTTAAATTTCTTGTAGATTCTGGATATTAGCCCTTTGTCAGAGAGATAGATTGCAAAAATTTTCTTCCATTCTGTAGGTAGGCCAACCATCTTTCTTATTAGTCCATCCCAGTCCTAATAGTCTGCCTTTCTAAAAATTTGTCTCAGGATGAAGGACAGCTCCGCTGTTTATCATGACTTCTGTTGCCCATACATGAGCCCATACATTGCATGAGTGCAATGGTGTGATCTCACCACAGACTCCACCTCCCAGGTTCAAGCAATTCTCCTGACTTAGCCTCCCAAGTAGCTGGGATTACAAGTGGGCACCACCATACCTGGCTAATTTTTGTATTTTTAGTAGAGACAGAGTTTTGCCATGTTGGCCAGGCTGGTCTTGAACTCCTGACATCAAGTGATCCACCTGCCTCGCCCTCCCAAAGTGCTGAGATTACAGGTGTGAGCCACCATGCCTGGCCCTACACCTTTGGTTGGAAGGGAAGGATTCCCTGCTCACCCTCCTGGAGTTCCTTTGAAGACCTTACACCCCCTTCTCTGTGAAATCAGGTCTCCAGTCCCCCACCTGCCACCCCATATAATTTTCAGATTATTCTAGAGCTCCCTGAGCTCTTCTCTCAGCTACAAGGAAAGCTGACAGGATGGAGAAATGAACTAAAGCAGAGAACAAAAATAGAAGGCAGACATCATCTCCATTAGGTTATCCTATCATTACCCTGTCCCTGCTTGCCCTGTCAGTGCTCAAATTGGGAGATTGAATATGATCTCTGGCTTCATCTAAGGCTACCTACCTGCAGCAAAGCAGCATAGCTGGAGAGCTCCTGTCAGAACAGTGACAGCAACTGCGTTTCATTGTCATATAAGAATCAGTGGAGCTTACTAGATTAGGAGTTAAACCAGTTTTACTGAAGTCTAAGTTCCCTGCTAAAGTATTCTATTTTGTATGAAATTTGAAAGGTGAAATTGGGGTAGACATTCTGTAATTATGTATCAAAAATGCCACTTGGAAGAAAGACTTTGAAACTCTAGAGGTTTTTGGAATAGAATTTCCTAAGCATCCCTTGTGTCTTTCTAGGAATTACCTCAGTAGGGAGGGAGGGGGGATGTGCCTTTGCAAAGTGAAACAGAATGAAGAAATCCTCTCTTTCAGCTTCAAGAAAGCACAAAGATGAAACTGTGGATTTTAAGGCTCCTTTGCTTCCGGTGACCTGTGGTGGGGTGAAGGGAATTTTACATAAGAAGAAATTGAAACAAGGTGGGTTTCATGGTCTTCTTTAAATTGCAGCTCCTATCTGAACGCATCACAAGTAGTGGGGAATTATCGTGTGAATTACACATCATTCAAGGAGTTTGGCCCCAGTTTGGCTTGAGGGAAGGAGGAAGGGATTTCTAAGATGATGTTTTCAGACTTTAAGAAATCACACCCATTAGATGCTGACTTGCACATGGAGTGTTCAGGGGTTGCCCAAAGAACCAAAGAGAAGTGCAGGAACGTCAGTTCACAGATGGAAAATGTCACATATTTTACTTTGAATCAGACAGAAAAATGAAGAGGCCTTCAACCTCAACTTTCATATTCTCTCTCCGTTCTGGAGTGCCATCACGAGGGCAGGGTGCTTGGTATAGGAAGATGATCACAGAATTTGGGATCACGAAGCCTGAGTTCCAGCCTTGGCTGTGCCAGGAGTGACTGTTCCATTCTGAATAGAGAAGGGAACCTTTCTGAACCTGAAATTTCTCATCCAAGAGAGGGAACAATAATAAGAAACCTGCCTCATGACGTAGCTGTGAGAATTAATTTACATATTGATGTAAAATATGTAAATTTACATGTTTTTACTGTAAATTATAAAACTTTGCCCAAAAATGTCTATTGCATTGTGACTATTTCTAAACAGCTTTACTGAGATATAGTTCACATATCATACAACTCACCACTTAGAGTGTACAGATCAACTATTTTTTTGTATATTCACAGAATTGTACAGCCATCATTATCGTCTAATTTTAGAACAATTTGTTCCACACTAAAAAAAAAAGCCCATGTCAATTAGCAGTCAATGCCCATTCCCACCTAAGCAGCCACTAATCTATTTTCTGCTCTATAAGTTTGCCTATTGTAGGCCTTTCTAGAAATGGAATTCTATAATACATGCCCTTTCCTAACTGCCTTCGTTCACTGATTGTGGTATTTTCAAAGTTCTTCTATAATGAATGTATTAGTACTTCATTTCTTTTATTGACAAATAATATATTTCATTGTATAGATATACCACATTTTGTTTATAAACTCATCATTTGGAACTATTTTCACTCTTTGGCTATTATAAATAATGCTGTCCTGAACATTTGTGTAACAAGTTTTGTGTGAACATATTTCAATTATTTGGGGTATATATTCAAGAGAAAAATTACTGCATCATATGGTAATTCTATGTTTAACTCATTGAGGAATCACCAAAGTGTTTTTCACAGTGGCTGCACTATTCTGTATTCCTACTGGCAGTGTGTGAAGGCTCCAGTTTCTCTACATGCTCACCAACTTTGTTATCGTCTGTCTGTCTTTTTTATTACAGTCATCCTATCATCCTAGTGGGTGTGACATGGTGTCTCATTGTGGTTTTGCTTTGTGTTTCCTTAATGGCTAATGGTATTGAGCATGTGACTATCTTTTACATATAAATTAAATTTTTTATTGGATAACATTTCACAATTAGTTTTTTAATATCAGCTACCCACGATTGCAGGGGTGTGAAAATCTCTGTTCACTAATGCCACTAAACTGCATAAAACATGTTATAATTGAGAATGCAGATGTTGCTGGAGTGACCCCTGAGCCACAGGGCACCCATCTGAGACCGTAGCCACAAGTTGAGGATTCTGCCTCCAACATTGCCCTCACAGCCATCTGGAGACTCAGGCCTGGTCTCTACTTCCAAATTTGAATAGAAAATTGGAATCCTCTGATCTTTCAGAATCACTTGCTTTTCCTTCTGTAAGTGCTTTTGAAATGCTTAAAAGGTTGCTCTTGTTGACAACCATCACTTTCTTCATGGATGAAGGTCAAAGAAATGTGCACCGCCGCCAGGAAATATCCTTAGAGTGGACTTTCAGGCTGGATTTGAGGCCTCTGAAGTCTGAGAGGGAAGGCCAGACCCTCCTGCTATTGATCTTGATCAGAAATTGGGTGGCTGTAGATCCAGTGTGGTGAGTGGCCACAGTCTGAGTGCTGGGAACAAAGAGGGCTCAGAATCAACTTACCCTGGTCTTACAGGAATCTTGGTGAAGTGTATACAGAGTGAGGATGGAAATTGGTTCACCCCCAGGGAATTTGAAATCAAAGGAGGCCACGCAAGATCAAAGAACTGGAAGCTGAGTGTGCGCTGTGGCGGGTGGCCCCTACGATGGCTGATAGAGGTATTCCAATGACAAGGGGCCAGACCTGTGTCCGTTCTTGTTCCCTAATAATGAGGAGACTGTACTGTTTATTCACCAAATATTTGTTAGGTTATTGCTAAAGCCTTGATGCCAGTGGGTTCTTCCTCTCACTCAGGAGAGAGGGACCCCATATCCGTAACCACACTACAGTGCAACACATCCATGTTGTACCAGGGGCTCCATCAGGATAGACTCAGCAGCTTGAAGGAGGAAAGGGTCATTCTGACTAGGGTGCATGCAGACAGCTTTGTGCACTGAAAGAAGGAAAGGAGTTGATAGTCAAGCAGTGGAAGAAGACACTTCAGAGAAAGAATGGCATAAAAGCCAGAATGCCATGCAAACCAGAACCATGGCAAAAGTAGCTCTGTGGATTTAGGTAGCACAGATTGTGAGCAATTAGGTATACTATAACAGTTGGGGCAGTTTGTGGAGGGCTTTCATGCCAGGCTAAGGAGTTTAAACCTATAATTGAGATAACAAGGATTCAGTGAAATCTTCTAGGATTGGAAATGATATTTAAAGCAATATTTTATTTTATTTTTAGGAGACAGTCTCACTCTGTTGTCCAAGCAGGAGTGCAGTGGCTCAATCTTGGCTCACTGCAACCTCTGCCTCCCAGGTTCAAGTGATTCTTGTGGCTCAGCCTCTCGAGTATCTGGAACTACAGTCGTGCACCACCATGCCAGGCTAATTTTTATATTTTTAGTAGAGATGGGGTTTTGCCATGTTGGCCAGGCTGATCTCGAATTCCTGGTGTCCAGTGGGAGGTCTCCTCGGCCTCCCAAAGTGCTGAGATTACAGGCGACAGCCACCGCGCCCAGCCGTAAAACAGCATTTTAGACAGCCATGGGGCTTTCCCCCTAGGAAACCTATACTCAATTCAGAATGCTCAGTTCAAGTGTGACCCCTTCCTGAATGTTCATTGACCCGGCCACGGGTCATCACTTCCCAAGGCTCCTGAGCCCTCTATTAAGGCCTTTCTACTAAGGCCTTTCATTCACTGTTTTATATTTATTATTCTGTGAGTGCTTTTTGTCTGTAGACCCCTTTAGGTTTTCCCATCTTCATGTGCCCAAGATTGATCAGAGTTACTGATACCCAGTAGCAGCCAATAAGTGGGTGCTGCTTGGATAGCTGTGGTGTAGGGACTCCAGCTGGAGTGGCACTGGTGGGACTGGAAAAGAGGTGATAGATGGTATGAGATTGTGAAGGAAAACCTCTTAGGACTTAGGAAAGAAGCACAAGAGAAGGGAAAATGGTCCTGAAGATGCTTTTCTGGCTTCTATTGATTGAAGTCTAGAAGAAGCACAGGTGAAGAGAGGGAGATGGTTTCTCATTAGACACCCTGGGTTTGAGCTGGCAGTGGAACACTCAGATAGAAAGATTTGGGAGGAGGTTGGAAATGCCAGACTCACAAAACAGAAACACAGGCTGACCATATACCTGAATCTTTTTGTCTTTCAGAATGGATTTCTGCCTAATCCTCCAAGAATATATTCCAGGAAAAAAAAGGTGATTATTACATAGCTTTCTACAGCTTCATGTCACATAACTGATTTAACATGCACAAAATCTTATTTTATGGGGTCTGAAATTGGGTAAATATAATTAAGCTTTCACCTTCATCACTACCCACCTTAAAATACACTTTGCATGTATTCCTTCAGAGTTGCTAATTTTCAATGCTAAATGTATATAAAGCTAGGTCCTCTTTGGATCAATCATTTCATATGAAGATGATAAGGAGCCATCAAAATGGACCTCCTGGATGTGTTTTAGCAATAGATGCAGATGTTTTAAGGGTGCAACTTTCCAAAGTTGGAAAGTCAAGCATGGTCATGGGATACATAAAATATTTCATAATAAGGTGAGAGGATCATCTTCAACTCAAAATTCAGATTTTTTTCATTGAAGTTACTATTTTCTAACTTTAGTGAAATAGGATGGAGCAGATGTTTGCTCACATCCATTTGAGACATACATGAAACCATATATCATTTCATGAAATAGGCAACAAAAAGAATATTTCTTTTCTGATCCTTCACATCCTCTTTCACCTTCCAAAAAAATGTACACACAGACACACAGAATGTCTTCTCAAGATGAAATTATTTCCTGTTACCACAATGGTGCCACCGAGGACAAAGATCTCCAGAGGCGAATGTATTTTATAGGAGGGGCTGACCAGGAAAATCTTTTATGTTGATGCCACCTCTTTGGCTCTACCAGAGGGACTGTGCCGACCTGCTTTTTATCTGTGAAAGTGATTTTTCCCTCTCTTGAAGAACTCAACAAACAAATAGATTAAGTGCAGTGTAGATTCAGGACAAGGTGATATTTTTCCAAGACTGGGTTTGAATGAGAACCTGAGGAGGGGGAAGAGAAAAATATCATCCTTATGCACTTCAGGTAGAAATGCGCATTCAAGACATTCACAGATTTCTAAAACAGCTCGCACATAGCTAGCCACTGAGCTTCATATTCCACTGGGAACCTGGGATTCAGGTGTTTATATGATCAGATATACTGGCTGATTTGAATTCTCAGTCACTGAGATATTTCATCCACTGGGTTTCCCAAAGGGAAACTATTATGTACCTATTCAGTGAGTACACTAAACACTAGCATCTCTACCTTTCCCCAGGTGCCAAGAGTAACTCAGCCTGGATGACCCAAATGAGCTGGCAATTTCCAACCAACCGACTCTCCCTCTCTTCTGGGGTGCAACACTTAGCAGCAACAAGCTGCAGTTGCCTCTATATGTTGTGTCTCCTCATGGGGAGAACAGAACGCCCCTTAAGTGGCAGATCCACGATCCATTATGAACTCCATTGGTCCTCTGTGCCTCTCAGAGCTTCTGGCAGGGCCATTTGGCTTTGGGAAATTTCAGTGTCACTACCAGTGCCACATGATGGCATCTTAGCTCATGACAAGGGCCACATAAACCTTTTGGTCCAGCTGAGGTATTGTAAAACCATCTGATACACTCACCCAGAATAATCATTGTATGCTAATGTTTGCTTGAGGGCCTCCAGTAATTTCTAAGTGAAAAAATATTCATTTATTCACCCATTCAACATATGATTATCAAGTACCTATGAAATGCCAATGACCATTACAGAAGATTGAAGTCAAAAATTATTTCAGCCAAGCATGATCACTTAAGCCTATAATGCCAGCATTTTGAGAGGCTGAGATGGGAATATCATTTAAGCCCAGGAATTTGAGAAACAACATGAACAACATAGTGAGATACCATCTCTACCAATAAAAGAAAAACAAAAAAATTACCCCGGCGTTATGGTGCACACCTGTGGTCCCACCTACACAGGAGACTGAGGTGGGAAGATCACTTGAGCCTGGGAGGTTTTCAAAGCTGTAGTGAGCTGTGATTTCATAATCACAGCTATGATTATGATCACTCCAGCCTAGGTGACAGAGTGAGACTCTGTCTCAAAAAAAAAAGTTTTAAATTTATTGTCAACATGGATGAATTACAACTGGGTTGGGTTGGAGATTCTAGGCCAGTCAGAGAGGCATTCAGTGACAAGGTCACCTCTCAAGTGCTTGTCCTTTGAATCACACTTGTTTATGGCCTCTGGTCCCTGGGCTACAGATAGAAGCTAAAGCTGCCTGTATCCCAGAAGGGAAGGATGCCAAGTCATGCAATGGATATCCAAAAGCCATCTAAATAAATATAGTGGGTTACCTCTGAAAAGTCAGTCAACCTGACATCTTTTTGTGATTTGGATAGAAGGGAGAGCGGGAGACTTTCAGGAAAAAGAGCTGCAGCACAGAGGACCTTGGAGGCATTTTATCACCAGGGCTGTGTCCCTAGGGGAGCTGCAAAAAGCAGTGTTCTTCTTCTCTGGGACACTGCATAGCCTCCAGGACTCTGGGCCCTGTGATCCCAGGGGGCTGTGGGGGATAAGTCCTCAGCCTGATTATTATTGCAGCTCTTCTGGGTGGGATGTCACAAAGGCCATGTTTAGGAAATATGCCTGAGGGCCCCTTGGAGTAAGAGGACAAGTAGTTTCTGTGAATTGGCCTGTGCAAACTAGGTCCAGACTCCCTGCAGGGAATGGGACTTGCACTGGGCTGAACAGTAGTACTTGGGCACTTTTTATTCTCTCAGTAGATATATAGGCCCCAAAAATCAGATATGAGGTAAAGGGAAGGCTGTTTAAAAAAATAAAACTTTAGACAAAATAAAATTTATAGCCTTTATTTGAGCAAAGAGCGATTCATGAATTGGGCAGCACTCAGAACAAGGAGAGGTTCAGAGAGCTCTGCTGCAGCAGCCCAGACAGTGAGGCCAACAAAGGAGTAAGTCAGGAAAACTAAATTTACTGGCTTATCATGGAAAGATGATAATTAGAGGTTAGATGGCAGATTCTAGTTGGTAAAGTCTCTAGTTTCATTTTATTGTTTATATCAGGTTTCAGTTTGCTTACTTAGGAACTTAAACCACTGGAGCCATCCCAGTCTGCAGGTCTTCTTCTCATCTTCTTCTCTTCCCAATTATTTTTTTACAACTGGTTCCTGAATCCCTTCAAAGATGACTATTTAAATTTAAACAAATGATAGATGGAAACATTACATTCAATATTGTAAATCAATCTTTCTGTTTTTTTCAACAGAGAATACTGAAGTCTCACAACAATACTTCAGTTGACCCTTGTGTAAGTATAAATTCTGAACTATGACCCCCAGAATATTCCACTCCTTTCTCCAGGGATATGTTCTGTGTCATGACTGCTGTTCCCTGAAGCATGTTCAGTCTCAGTTGGAGTATGTTGCTGTGTGTGATGACCAAAGAATGCCAGATGCATCACCCAAGCCAGGTAGATGTGCCTGGGCCTTGGATGTCTCAGTGTGAAAGCACCCTTTCCATCTGTTTCAGTAGAAACCTTCCAATGTCCTTATTTATTTCCCCTGGAAAGTGAGTGTAGGAGGCTGAGCTCTATACCACTGAGGTCTCTTGAGACAGAGCTTGAAGTGGTAATGAGTAGGGCTGGCCTGGTGAGTAAGGGGAAGGAGCAAATGTGAAAGGATAATAGCATTTTCAAGTAAGGGGTGTGGGTGAAAGGGAAAGTCCCCAGAATGTACTCCAAGTTGCAGGTAGAGCTGAAGATGGTCATAAGCATCAGCCAGAAGGAACAGGCCAGGTTGGGCTATTATGTTCAAGGTGTGGATCCTGCCATTAGCCCTGTAAAGGAGTACATACAGGGTGAGGGGTCTTTTACAGAGCTCCTATGGATGGTCTCAGGTAAGCCGTAAGCATGCTGAGCTGGTTAGGACTGAAACCAGCATGACCTAGCAAATCCTGAGGCATTTTAACTCAACTGCTTATCTGGTGCTCAGTACTCAGCAACCCTTCTGATTCCATGGCCCCATCCATTCTCTGCTTGCTATATGACTGCCTGTTTTGGGTTCTGCCAAAATCATGGATGAGTCCCTTCTCTAAATGAAATCATGGTTTGATTCTTTTCATTGCAATGAGATGTCTGTTTTAGGCAGGGTCACCTTCTTGCACAACTCTGGGGGACAGCACTCACATAGAATATCATGCAATAGCACTGACACATGATACTTAACAGAGGAGGGATGCTCAAGTAGTTTTATATGCACTTTACCTCCAAAGCAATCCTCCAACAAGATTTAGGTCTTATCCACACTAATTTTGATGTCCGGCCAACTGAGGGACTTTTCAACAGTTAAAACAGCCCTAGAAGTCAGTGTTTGTGTGGTTGATTTTGGATGGACTAGGCATGGAGGTTTAGGTTTCACATCCCACAGCCAGATATGTGTGGGGAGAAGAGGGAAACAGTTCCAGCAAAGGTATGGTCACTGTTAATAATTTTTCCAAGACCAGTAACAACATTGACTTGTTATATCCCCATGCCTCCATAACCAGACTTTGCTCAGGTTGAATCTCGTGTTGTCCTGCAGCCTGGAATCACTTGAAGAGCTTTAAAAGAATATTGTTTCCTGGATCCCACTTCTGGGGAAAATCTAATTTAATCATTCTGGACTACGTATGACTTGAACATTAGGATTTTTTTTAAGATCCTCAGATGTACCAATTCTGATATATAGAATTGCCTATTCTGTCACCTAAAGAAGAATATCAGTGCTTGTGCCTCAGCCCTGACCCAATGATTCAGAATCTCTGGTGTTCGGTTCAGGACATTAGCATTTTACATACTCTCCTGAGATGAGTCTAATGTACAGCCAGACCAACAACAAAAGAACCAGAGAAATCAAATCTCTTCTTGAAAAGATATGGGTTTGGAGAACAAAATGGCAGATAGGAGGCAGGACTAACTTGCATCTCCTACTCAGATGGACAGAACAGCATGTTGAGACTCACATTGTGAACTTTTGCTCCAAGAACCACTGCAGGAATATACCAGCAAAACTGAAGGAAGTCACACACCCTTTAAAAGAAGTGGCTTGCCACTGCAAACTCTGTGAGACAGCCAAAAAACTGTGAGTTCTCAAAGTGTGAGAGGGAAAAGTCCACCTCTGAACACATATCCTCACTGGGGAACCTGGAAATCTGGATCACGGGAGAAGGATTTCACCTAACCTAGAGCTGAAATGAATTTGGAGAGCCGAGTGAAATGTAAAAGCAGAATAAGCAGCAGGAAGAGGTGCCTTCCCCAAGGACCCCTATAGGCACTTCGGTCCCCAGGGAAGCCATTTCTGACTTTATCTCACAGGAGTCCTTGCGGAGGGCAGCCAGTACAATTTGGGGAGAGCCATGGGGAGAAGGAGGCTTCCAGCTGAACTTTGTGATAATTTTGACCAAGCACAAATTTTCCTGGTCAGAATATGAGGGTGTGAACCTGAAGTACAGATATAAACACAGAAGCCATGGCAGGCAGGGAGGGGTGAGACCTGAAAGCCCTGCTTGCTTTCTCAGTGGGGACACTTGTTGCTGGGGCAAGATCTTAGCTCCAGGCAAAGGAGGCTTGGATATAAATTTGGCTCTCTTGGCTGTTGGGCACCATAGCGGGCATGAGACTGGCCTTGCTGGCTGCCTGGGTGCTGAGTGAAGCCTGTCACTGCCGGCTTCCCTCACTTATCTGGTGAACTGTATGAAGCAGCAGAGGCAGTCACAATCCCCTCTGGAATATAACTCCATTAGCCTGCAAGCCACCCACCTCATCCCCCACAATGGCCACAGCAAGCCCTTTCTGAGAATCTGAGATCAGACACACCTAACCCTGCCCCCAGCTGATGGTCTTTCTCTACCTGCCCCTGTAGCTGAAGACAAAAGACACGGACTCATGGGAGCTCTATGACCTCACCCATCACCTGAGAAACCCGAATACTTATCTAGTGAACCTAGGTCAAGCTTGTATCCCCGTCATATTACTTGCAGCTGATGGTCTCTTGAAAGTGCCACCTCCTGGCTGAAGGCCAGCCAACTCAAGTCATTACAGCCACTCATAACAGAACCACCTTGCTCCAGGAAGGAGAAAACAACAGCTAATTATACTGCCTGTAACATCCTGGGTAACCAGAGGTCCTGAGTCTGTCCAAGTAGCAACTTCACTGCTAGCATAACTAGCCTTTGAGAAAACCAGTGTACTAAACAAAACTACAACCAAGGACTCTTACAGAGTCCACTTCACTCCCCTGCTGCCTCCACTGGAGCAGGTGCTGGTACCCATGATTGGGAGAACTGAAGACAGATCACATCACAGGACCCTTTGCAGATACTCCCTAGTACCAGCCCAGAGCCCAGTAGCTCTTCTGGTTGGCTAGACTCAGAAGAGCAATAACAATAACAATAACAGAAGAGCAATAACAATCACAGCAGTTTGGCACTCAGGAAGCCCCATCCATAGGAGAAGGGGGAGAGCACCAGATCAAGGGATCACCCTGTGGGACAAGAGAATCTGAACAGCAGCGCTTTAGTTTCAGATATTTCCTCTAACATAGTCTACCCAAATGAGAAGGAACCAGAAAAACAATTCTGATAATGACAAAACAAGGGTCTATAACATGCCCAAAAGATCATGTTAGCTCACCAACAATGGATCCAAACCAAGAAGAAATCTCTGAATTGCCAGAAAAAGAATTCAGAAGGTCAATTATTAAGCTACTCAAGGAGGCACCAGACAAAGGTGTAAACCAACTTAAAGGAATTAAAATAATAATACAGGATATGGATGAAAAGTCTCCAGAGAAATAGATATTGTAAATAAAAATCAGTCACAACTTCTGGAAGTGAAAGACATACTTAGAGAAATACAAAATACACTGGAAAGTTTCAACAATAGACTAGAACAAGTAGAAGATGAACTACAGGACTCGAAGACAAGGCTCTCAACCCAATCCAACAAAGAAAAAAGAACTTTTGAAAAAATGAACAAAGCCTCCACGAAGTTTAGGATTATGATAAATGACCAAACCTAAGAATAATTGGTGTTCCTCAGCAAGAAATCTAAAAGTTTGGAAAACATATTTGAGGGAATAATCAAATAAAACGTTGCTGGCCTTTCTAGAGATTTAGACATCCAAATACAAGAAGCTCAAAGAACATTTGGAAAATTCATCACAAAAAGATAATCACTCAGGCAAAGAGTCATCAGATTATCTAAAGTCAAGATGAAGGAAAGAATCTATGAGGCAAAAACATCAGCTAAACTACAAAGGAAAACTTATCAGATTAACAGCAGATTTCTCAGCAGAAACCCTACAAACTAGAAGGGATTGGGATCCTATCTTTAGTCTTCTTAAGCAAAATGATTATCAGCCAAGAATTTTTGTATCCAAGAAACTAAGCTTCATAAACGAAGGAAAGTTAAAGTCTTTTTCAGACAAACAAATGCTGACAGAATTCAACACTACTAAGCCAGTACTACAAGAACTACTAAAAGGAGTTATAAATCTTAAAACAATACATCAAAATATACCAAAATAGAACCCCCTAAAGCATAAATATCACAGGGCCTATTAAAAAATAACACAATGAAAAAAATAAGGTATTCAGGCAACAATTAGCATGATGAATAGAATAGTATCTCACATCTCAATACTAATGTTGAATGTAAATGGCCTAAATTCTTCACTTAAAAGATACAGAATGGCAGAATGGATAGGAATTTACCAGGCACATACCTGCTATCTTCAAGAGACTCACCTAACACATAAGGACTCACATAAACTTAAGACAAAGGGGTGAAAAAAGATATTCCACGCAAATGGACACCAAAAGTGAGCAGGAGTAGGTATTCTTACATCATACAAAGCAGACTTTAAAGCAACAACAGTTAAAAAAGACAAAGAGCAACATCATGTAATGATAAAAGGACTAGTCCAACAGGATACTAGCACAATCCTAAATATATATGCACCTAATAGTGGAGTTCCCAAATTTATAAAATAATTACTCACTTTGGGAGGCCAAGGTGGGCAGATCACAAAGTCAGGAGATCAAGACCATCCTGGCTAATGCAGTGAAACCTCACCTCCACTAAAAATACAAAAAAAAAAAAAAAAAAAAAATTAGCCAGGCATGGTGGTGGGCACCTGTACTCCCAGCTACTCAAGAAGCTGAGGCAGGAGAATGGTGTGAACCCAGGAGGTGGAGCTTGTACTGAGCCGAGATTGCATCACTGCACTCCAGCCTGGGTGACAGAGCGAGACTCCATCTCAAAAACAAAAA